TTAAACACACGATTTTTCTCGATCGATCATTTCTGCCCACGAAACGTATCTTAACGTAAAAAATGACAACATATAAAGAAAGGTGTCATCTACGTAGCTCAGCCATAGGATTGTCTTTACTGATGTGGATTCTAATGTCATTTCTTCGAATTATTCCATGTATATCTTTGCCATTTCTGTCTATATGTCTGATTCCATTCCGAAGTGTGGTGCTTGTGTAAAGAAAGTTATCTATTGGTATACTGTTCCGTTCTCCTAGGGATGAGTCCGAGGCCAGTCTGTCTCTGACTACCGATAGTGTCTCCTCCGTGGGTACCTTGTTGAACAACCTAACCACGTCTAGGCTCGCCAACTGGTTGGATTGAATGGGAGCATCTTTGATTATTTCCACGAAGTGAGCGGAATTTCGGACATATGAAGGTGTTTTTCCTATCAATGGGTCAATTATATCTACAAGAAAGCGACTCGGAGGCTGGCACACGGAGCCTTAAGAATCGGACTGAGCGGAATAATGTCTTTGTGAATTTGGGGGAGACCATATATGTGAGGTAGCTTGGTGTAACGCTGTGACAATTGCCTGCATGTCTTAGGTGGAAAATGGATTTTGTTCTTGATTAGGATTTGCAACGGTTTTTGTTCTGTTTTCATTGTTGGATCTTTTTTCTTTTACTGAACCTACCATTTCAATTGAGGTCTTCCAATTTTACTGTATATTCCAATTTGTCCATCGCTACAGTCGCATTGCCTTTGTCAGCTGGTAGTATGATGTTTTCTCTGTAGGCTTTTGATTACCAGACTCTCCAGTTTCGTGATATTTGGTTTGTTTTCGCCAGTATTTGTCTCACTTTCCATCTTAGCTCATCCGCCGACCCTGAGGGATGTTCTAGACTATTTCCTTGATTCGGAAATGATGGACAAATGGGAATATACAGAAGAACTAGAAGACCTCATTAGAAATGGTAGCTAAAGGCGTACTGACCACATATAGAGGGAAAAGGGAAATTACCGCTCCCTATGGAATGAGGTTTCTTTATTGAACATCATATAAAAATATAAAACTAGAAGGAATCAGCACATATGCTAGGCCACAAAATATTCCCTAAGCCGAACCAAGAATAGAAATGAATACAATATGGAAACCAGTAATACCGAGTGATAGAGAAAAGCAATAACAACAACAAAGATTGCAATATGAGCCCTGGTAAAAAATGAGGCCCCAAAATTCATGCACAGATATCCTCAAGGGCACATGGTCCAGTGGATGAAGGCGTTACTTGGATCCAGTGAGTTGACCCAAAATTCCAATACCTAGCTACGGCAGTGGTTAAAGAGGAGATAACTGAGACATCCGGAAGAGGCATGACACGTGGAATTAGAATAGTATACCCCAGTGGACAAAATAAAGGGTTCAGTTCGAAATTACAATCACGTGAAACTTCGAGGATATGACAATAAAGATTACAACTGTCCGAAAGATGTAATTAATTACAATACCACACACACATATATATATATTTTTCATATTTATTTTTTTCTAAACAATTGGACGTCTAAATACATTAAAAGACCTGTGATGCTTACTTAACAGTCTATGGATAGCAATATATATATATATAAAACATCTATATCTATCTATATATATATATATCTATATATCTATCTATATATCTATATATATATATATATATATATATATATCAAATATCTAGTGCAGTTCAATTTATATTACAATGAATCAGTCATAAAAAAAAATTAATATTTACCTGATTTTTTACCAAAAACAAAATAATTTCCATGTCTGAAGATGATTTGAATGTACAGTTGAAAGTACTTATACGGCTTATAATCTATATATATATGTATATATATATATATATATATATATATATATATATATATATATATGTGTGTGTGTGTGTGTGTGTGTGTGTGTGTGTCTGAAACATGTCATTAGTTGTAAAGCTGAGTTAAAGTAAATTTCCAATCCTCCACTGGCCATAGCAAGAACTGAAGATGAAACACTTGAGTTAAAATTAGTTTACTTAATCTTCAATCAATGCTTGCTTGTACGTTCTACGTTTTTTTTTGGTTTTTTATCTATGAACCGAACAGGTTTTAGGAGATTAAAAGCATTCTTCAATCGATAAAATAATTCTATTAATAGACACACCTTCACATACACGGACGATTACTGGGTGGAGTTCTACGATCGACACTGCGGCCAGAAAAAAAAATCGTTTTTTAACCGTAATTTTTTTTTTATTTTTTTTTTTTAAAAAAATATAATTTATAAATTCAAAATTTATTTACCTTATTATTATTTCCTTTCAGGGGGTTAAATCTATATCTATTATTATATTATGATTACTTGTATTATTACATTATTCAAACTGTTATTATTATTATTCACAACGTTTCGTCAGTTTTGATTTATGATATTTCTCCATATATTCGTCTATCTTTTGAGATGAGGTATTACGATTACTTACGTTGCATTATTCGGACTCTTATCCTCATCTTATTATGCACTTTCTTTATCTCTCTGAATATCTGTCTATATTCTGAGATGAATTATGATTATTTGCATTATTTACATTATTCAAACTGTTACTCATCTTCATTGCCATATTCTTACAACGTTTTATCGTCGACATCTTTTATATTAGTTTATGTCTCTCTATATATCTGTCTATATTCTGAGATGAGGGTATTATGATTACTTTCATTATTTACATTATTCGGACTGTTTATCCTCATCTTCATTACATATTCACAAGGATTTGCCGTTGTTACTCTCCGGCCTTTATGTCTATGTCTCTCTATATATTTGTCTATATCTCTGAGATGAGGTATTAATGATTACTTGCATTATTTACATTATTCAGACTGTTGTCCTATCTTCATTGCCATATTCACAACGTTTCGGCCGTTGTATTTCTCCAGCCTTTTATGTTTATGTCTCTCTAATATATCTGTCTATATCTCTGAGATGAGTTATTACGATTACTTGCATTATTTACATTATTCGGACTGTTATCCTCATCTTCATTGGCATATTCACAACATTTCAGCCGTTGTACTCTCCGGCCTTTATGTCTATGTCTCTCTATATATCTGTCTATATCTCTGAGATGAGGTATTATGATTATTTGCATTATTTACATTATTCAAACTGTTATCCTGAAATTCATTTGCCATATTCACAACGTTTCGGCCGTCATGGCGCTCTTCCTTTATGTTTATACGTCTCTCTATATATCTGTCTATATCTCTGAGATGAGGTATTACGATTACTTGCATTATTTACATTATTCGGACTGTTATCCTCATCTTCATTGGCATATTCACAACATTTCTTGGACGTTAAGCTATTATGTCTATGTCTCTATATATCTGTCTTGAATTATTATGATTCATTATGACGTTCTTCCTCAACTTCATTGCCATATTCACAACGTTTCGCTGTTGTACGGTCTATGTCTCTCTATATATCTGTCTATATCTCTGAGATGAATTATGATTACTTGCATTATTTATATTATTTGGACTGTTATCCTCATTTCATTGATATATTCATGACGATTTATAGGACTTCTTTCGGGTAATTGGAATTTCGAACCAAATCCTCTATTTCGTCCACCGAGTATAGATTGTTCTAGTTCCACGGGCCATGCCTCTTTCGGATGTCTCAGTTATTACCCTTTAACTCAAATCTCCAAGTTTTTTGGTTCACCACTGTTGTGGCATGGTATTGAACTCACTGCTCTTTGGGTCTAGTCATATTTATCCACAGAGCCATGGACACAAGGCCCAATGGATAAAGATTTTGGTTAGTGACTAGACCCAATGAGTTGCGAGTTCAATACCAGGCCACAGCAGTGGTGAACCAAAAACTTGGAGAGTTGATTTAAAGAGAAATAACGGAGAAACCCGGAAGAGGCATGTCACTTTAATTTATGTTTCCATCCGGGTCCCAACCAGAGACCTAAGTTCATAAATAATATCATGACATTTTCAACTGAGCAGTTTTGCAAGCAAAAATCATAAGATCACGCACTTTTTACATAGATAAAGCCCTTCGTAATGTATGAGCTGTACTTGTGAGTATAATCTTGTGTTTCTTTAAGGCAGGAATCTTTTCATTGAGTCTATCGGAACCTTTCTCAATCAATCCGAATCCTCCTACTATTACTGGAATTATTGATATCCTCATATGTCACATCTTTTAGACTTCCGCTTTAAGATCCTTGTATTTTGATATTTTTTGAAGATCTTCAAAGATACATTACAATCTACAAGGACTGTCATGTCATTAGAAGCTGTAAGCTTAAATGTGAGCGTAGTATAATGGATAACGGTCCGCAATTGTAATTCAGAGAGCCGAGTTTCAATTCCAGTCAGGTTCGATATATTTACTTACGCGCAAATATCCTTCAGAAATATATGAATCCACTTTTCTCTCCCCAACTATGGATTAAATTAGTAGAACATGTATTAATATATAATTGTTATCTAAAAAAATATTTACAATCTAAAAATAATTTTTACCTTTAAATAACCTACGAAGGGTTGATAAGCCATAAAAAACGAATCAATCAACAATCTTATTTTCGAGTGTATAAGTATTAAATCTCTTTGAGTCATTATTTTTAATGAGGGCCTGTCATTTTTAATTTACTTTCATGACTAACAATGCAGTCTGAGGTTTGATTGAATGATTTATTTGTTTTTTACGATTTATAAAAAAATTTCCAGGTTACTTAAATCCAGTAAATATTTCTTAAATTGTAAGAATTCTTTTGGAATTATAATAACCTACTGATACAAGTCCTACTAATTGACCAATAGCTGGAGAGGGAAGAACTGGTTTCATACCATTCCCATGAGGGAATCTAGGTACTGGCCAGGCTCGATGTTGCTTAACTTCGGTAATCGTGCGAGAACCGGTGTTTCAAAGTGATATGACCGTAAGCTCATTTCTACACACGTACATCCAATCTAACAGCACCTGGTATTCCCAAGCGGTCACCCATCTTGGTACTGACCGGGCTCCACGTTGCTTAAGTTCGTTAATCGTACGAGAACTGGCGTTTCAAAGTGATATAACTGGAAGCACATTATATCACTCGTACATCTAAACGTACAACCTCTATTCCCAAGCCGTAACCCATCTTGGTACTGGCCAGGTTTGACGTTGCTTAATTTCGGTAATTGTACTAGAACGGCTGTTTCAAAGTGATATGACTGTAAGCACATGAAACCACACGCACATGAAACGGTACAGATCTTTGTATTCCCAAGCCGTCACCCATCTAGGTATTGGGCAGGTTCGGCGTTGCTTAACTTCGGTAATTGTACGAGAAACGTTTTTTCAATATGATAAGAATGTAAGCACGTTAAACATCCCGCACATCCAGACCTACAGCATCCGATATTCCCAATTGGTCACCCATCTAGGTGTTGAACTGGTTCAACGTTGCTTAACTTCGGTACTCGTACGAGAACCGGTGTTTTAAAGTGATATGCCCGTAAGCCCATTACTACACACGCACATCTAATCTGACAGCAACTAGTATTCTCAAGCGGTCACCCATCTTGGTACTGGCCGGGCTAGACGTTGCTTAACTTCGGTAATCGCACGAGAACTGACATTTCAAAGTGATATACACACATTATACCACTCGTACATCTAAATGTACAAAACCTGGTATTTCCAGGCCGTCACCCACCTCGGTATCGGTCAGTTTCAACGTTGCTTAACTTCGGTAATCGTACGAGAAACGGTGTTTCAAATTGATACAACTATGAGCACATTACACCACACACATATGTAATCTTACAAAGTTTGGTATTCTGAAGCCATTACCCATCTACGTATTGGCTAGTTTCGACGTTGCTTAACTTCGGTAATCGTACGAGAAGCTGTACTTCAAAGTGATATCGGGGTATGGCAATATTAACCGTTTCCATATGTCCTGCTGTTTGTTGAAATCTATAAAATGTTTCTCTTAGAACAACTTTTCAAGTCCAGTAGCTGTTATTGCTCTTTCCATGAGCGTTTTTTCTTAACCAATTTTTGTCGCAGTGTGTTACGTCAACGTCTTTATTAGGTCATCAGTTTCTCTTCATGTAACATGTGTTACGTATTTTAGTTGTTACTTTTGTTGACATTACTCAACTAAAAAAAAAAAACTACTAACATTTATTTTGATTTATCTTTGTGTTACATTTTAGTCTGTTTTCTTTTTCCCTTCCCACCATTTCATGAATCATGAAATTTTTGTATATTTCTGTTTAAAAAAAAACAACGAAAAAAGTGACATTTTGGACTCTCATCAGATTTTGATCTCATGAGGTGTTTTGTAGAGCTCCCCTGTGAATATGCGGTATTTTGGTGTATGCAGGATGGAGAGGTGATGGATAAGTTCTTTTGGTGAATGAGCAAATTATAGTGAATGAATGGGTTGCGAATCTGATTAACTAGGACTAGGATAGTTAATGAAGACCAATCCCCCGCAACCCTGGCGTTGTGCTATAATTCTGTATGTTACAGAATAAATATCCACAATTGATATAGGTTCTCTTATCTGGTACAGTTCTTTGCCATTCCTTAGCCCCTATCAAGATTCGAAGAAGAGTAATATTCCTAAAGGCCTAAGCAACCCTCTTAATATTGCCAAATAATTTATTGCACATCACAAGGCGGACTGCACTTCTATAAAGATTCAAGCTAATTTTTCACAGTAGGTACCTCGGCTATTTTCACTATAAAAGACCATATGTGTAAGGAAATACCTTCGAAATGATAAGAAAGTTTTATTTTTTTAGAAAAGATTTTTTATTATTAAAAAACTGGAGTCTTGACATAATATTATCCCACCAATTACTGGGAATAAACACGTGTCGCTGTGTATGTTTTAATTCGGACAGCATTTAGGCTAGCTCCTGCGGAAGGTTCTTCATTGGACCACAATAAGTATGGAGGAGTAGAAGCGATAGGCAACAATAAACTATAGAAGAACTCAAAATTGATCGCTACATTTAAGTATTGCACTAATATTTAAGCTTACCTTTTAAAAGTTTAACGATAATTCTTCAGATGCCACTTAATTTAAAGACAGTTTGAGGTACGTAGGTCCTTACTTTTCGTACAAACAATTATTTTTATTTCATGAGTGACTTTCGATGGATTTCGCAATTAATTTCGATTGTTTCTTAATTTATTTCCAAGTTATAAAAAACTTGAGAATCCAAAATTCTCGTTAGCATTAAGCTAAAAAAAAAGTTTGTTTTTAGCTTAATGCTAACGTTAGATACGAGCTACATGAATGACAATCGGTTTTAGAAGCGAAGCAAGAAATCATCAATACTATCGTTCACCAAGAGGAACCATGATCGATCTCTCTAAATATAACCCGGCCAATTGTTAGTGACAGCTGATTACGTTATAGATATATAGAGATCGCTTGATATACTGTTTAATGTAAAGGTGACAGATTACTTTTGGCAGCAGGAAATTACATCCAAGAATAAAAGAAAATGATGGAGGCGTACAGGGTGCGGTGGGTAAATTTTCGCCATTTTATATTTTTAATTTCGCGCATGCGCTTTGTTTGTTTTGGATTTTGTCGCCGACACAGTACAGTGGGTTCCGTTGGGCACCGTCTGTGAGAAAAAGAGCACCATGATGCAATTCAGAAATTTAGAAACGGTATGCATACTGCATGGCATTCGTTCCGGAATCCAATACGAACGTTTCAGAGTGTTTTAGCGTCAATCTGAGGACAGTGCAGAGGATTCGGAAAGAGTTGGATGAGTCTAATGGTGATTACGAAGGTACATCAGATTGGAAAACACACTATGATTATTCTAATAAGAAAAGGCTTCCAAATTTGTTGGTGAGGCTCCCAAACTCAACACGGAGGCTTATATCGAGTACCTTGAAGAGGTAGTGCTGCCCTAGATCAAGAGGGTAGCCGCTGAAAGATCCGATGTCTGGTAAGAGGACTCTGTACCATGCCACACAAGCAAGAGAACCCAGGCTACAACCCTCTTGATTATTATGTGTGGGGCTCAGTTGAGCGAGAGACCATGAAAACTCCGTATAAGAGCAAAGAACTGAAGGCAAGGATTATGGCAGCATTCATTAACTTAAACAAGGAGACCGTCCAGAAGAGTTACAGGAGATCCTGAAGTCATCTGGGAGTTGTGGTTGAAGCCAATGGCGATTTTTTTGAATAAATCTACTTTAGTATTTCAAGATATTTTTATGTAATTTTAGTAAATATATCTGTTAAAATGAGATGTCAGTATTATTTTTATTTTTGCGTCATTTAAAGGACAATTTATCCACGGCACACCCTGTATAACTGTTAAAATGAGATGACAGCGTTATTTTCATTTTGGCGCCATGTAGAGGACAATATATCCATCGCACCCTGTATATCTGTTAAAATGAGATGCCAGTGTTATTTTCATTTTGGCGCCATTTAGCCGACAATTTATCTATCACACCCTGTATATCTGTTAAAATGAGATGTCAGTATTATTTTCATTTTTGCGTCATTTAGACGACAATTTATCCATCACACTCTGTATATCTGTTAAAAATGAGATGTCAGTGTTATTTTCATTTTGGCGCCATTTAGACGTCAATTTATCCATCGCACCCTGTACTTCTGTTAAAACGAGATGTCAGTGTCATTTCCATTTTGGCGCCATTCAGACGACAATTTATCGATCGCAACCTGTAGATATATCATCCCGAAACGAGATTTTTCAGTGGGTTTGCTCTCCGGAAAGATTTTTTTTTGATTTTTTTTTTTTTTTGACACTGATGTTCACTCTGTAGAGGCTTACAGAGAAAGAGGCACAGTTTATGAGGATATCTGTTGAAGATAACGGTTAACCCTAGACAGATTAAGATTTTAGTGACCTGGGAAGCATCCTCTTGGGAGTCGGTTTCACAAAGCAGTAGTTTGTGGGAAGAAGATGCTTGAATGGAACTTACATCTCACCAATGGAATAAAAAGGTAATGCGGATTGTTAGCTACAATGTGAAGAATATGGACTTCTCCAATATTATTACAGTTCAGTATATATATCAAAATTTAAATTATGTATCGGTCTGTTTTCAGTCAGCACCTGAAGACTGCGTTGTGCATGAAACTCAGAGTTCTACTAATGGTGAGGAAATATCTATAATCATTGTTAATATATATATTTGATTATTTCACCCCAAACAAGGCGGGAATGCCACTGGTATGCAGGGGATTACAGAGAGTTAAGACGAGAGAAAAGTATGAGTCTAGGGGGAAAGATAAAAGCTGGAGGGGGTGCAGGAAGATAGAAGATGGCGATTGACGTTGAATTTAAATATTTGAAGATTGTAGTTATCAAGAAGCAAGGAAGCGGAAGGGAGTTCCAAAAGCGGGAAGTGCGAGAAAAGAAACGGTTGTAGTACAAGTGGCTGTTACATTTAAGTAGTTCAACAGTAAAATGGTGGGACCGAGATGCCAGTCCAGTAGGACAATTAAACTCACGTAGACCAGGCACCAGGGGAAAAAAAAGCTTGTTTGACCAGTTGCCATGAAAATATTTGTAGAAAAGATAGAGGGAAGCCACGTCACGTCGGTGAGAAAGGGATTGAAGTCGAGATGTTAGGCCAAGATTGGTTACATTGAAGATCCTTCTTTGAAGTTTGTCAAGAGACTCGAGAGGGGTAACAGGATCACCAAACTAGATATATCAACAATATTCGATGCACGGGCGAATGGTATATTTCTAAATGTGCAAGATGAACTCTGACGACAATAACCTTCGGCTACAGTGACCCAACTTTCCTTGTAGTAGATGCAGCTATTGATTCGATGTAGTTATTCCACTTTAAGTCAGTAGAAAACGTGAGGCCAAGAAGCTGCAGTGTGTTGATTTCCATGAATCTAGCACCAGTCATGCTGATGGGGGACAGGAAAGATTCTTGATGCATTGAAATATTTTTGAAATTATTGAAAATTACGAACCATTTCCTTCCCCAGTTGACCAAAGATTGGGGGACTTTTTCAAGAGCAGCGTCCAGGTTAATTTTGTCGACTCTGGCGGATCGGTGAAAAGTAACTTCCACTCGAGCAGATTCCCGTGTACTATTGTTCTGTGGAACAGATTTCCAAGACAAGGTTTCCCCGATCAATACAATATTAACCTGTTCAAGCATAGTGTTTACCATTATCTTCACCTCCTATCCGTATAAAAACTCATAATGTAACCTTTCGGATTTTTGTGGTTTTGTTTGAGAAAATTCTAACATTTGTATATAATGGAATTATATAATATATATATATATATATATAATATATATATATATATTCAAACTATCCTACACCATGAAGACAACAAAATTAGATTACAGATACTATTTGCAATTTTATATTAAAAAAATTAAAGCCGGCACTGAACAGAATCAACTATGAATACTGAAGTAATGTTCTGAAATGCCTGTAAAGGAACAGTTTTTTCACGCTTTATTGTACGCGTGACCATGGCATTATAACATAGAGAGAAGAAATTCCACAATGGATAATTTTTTCGCGTTCTAATGAACTCACAGCACATTAACAACCGTTTTGCCTTTAAAAGCATAATGAAAAAATTACAGTAA